ATCAGCCTACCAACGACCGACTACAAGGTCCTCAGCGGCGTGCTCATGGGCCGTCTGCGCCGTCATCTGCCAGACCTCGTGTCCGACTGTCAGATCTAAGCCGTTCAGGAGTGGTTATCATCCTGGAACATTGCGCGAGTGTCCGACAAAGTCGCCTGAGCAGCGAGATATGACATACCTTTGGCTGTCATCATTTTACGTCCTTCTTTTCCGCTGATACTTTATTAAACGCCATTTTTAAGTTTTATCAGTCTTGGTGTTTATATAAAAAACATTCCTTTGTACAACAATGTATATATGTACAACATTTGCGCTTCAGGAACCTGGGTTGTAAATATCTCTATTTTTTATTTAAAATATTATTTTGGATCAATATATATAAAATTGAACATTTAAAAAAATCTTTGTCAAGGTGGTACGCCATTCTTCATCAGGGTCTCTCTTTAATTTGAAAATGTTTAACCACGCAATTGCCTTCATGTGACTGCATATACGAGATTTATAAAAACAAATTCTGTGGTCAACATATGTCAAATATACAAGTGTATATATCATGAATATAAAGTTTGTCTGGCCGGCATTCATAGTTCTTAGAATTAAGAGATACTTCGGCCAGTAAATGTTTACTTTTACCGACCAAAATGTTGTTGTCGTGTCCAATGAAGAGCCTCAGATGTCTCCATGCATCTCTATCACAGCAGTCGCAATGTCCTCATCTACTATTCATTGGGAAATGGGAGCCATTGCCACGTTAGTCACCTTAGACCAGAATTTGGTCAAATATTCCAAGAGTCCACTGGTGTGGTCGGACTTCTCCCCCTCCCCCCTCTCAATTCTAAGAACAAATGTATATAAATATAGATATATACACACATTCCAAAAATTAATTATTACATATATGTGGCAATATAATAAGGTGGGGAAAGAGAAATAATCACACCACAAGTTTGGAAGAGGAATCCCAGACAACCAGAGAGAGAGCCGGGCGGCCGTTCGTGTCGCACACAATCCCCAACTGTCTTAATAGTCCCGAGGTTCCAAGTAACGGGCCCCTGTAGTCGCCCCTTGGAATGTCGCTGAGGTCTAAAGTGACCGGTCCTTACCCGCCCGTCTATCTCTGGGTCGACTGTAGGTTTGCTTTATTATTCCTTAAAGAGTATATATTATGATATATATATATATATGGTGAAAATATTATACAATATTCTCCACATGTCCAAATGGTCGATATAGTGAATATTTTGCTACAATTATATATATTAATTAACAAGCCTATTTTGGATCAAAAGTAAAAAACATTTTATGTATTACAAAATTCCGATATTTCGCTAGGCTATACGCCTATCTTTGTCATATTTCATATGGATTGTTAAATATTCAATAATTATATATATATATGTGTTATATTAAAATATTATTTTATTTAAAATTATATTTCATAGATTCAAATACTCTGTTAAATCGACCGCCAGAGGTCACGCTTACCCTATAAAAACTCATTGTTGTTGTTTCCCGCTGGCCGGCTCAAAACTTTTGTACATTATGTGAATAAGTATTTCATTTTTTATTCTTACGCCTTAAGCCAGGCAGTACTTTATCAAAACATGCTTTTTTTATATATATTTCTTTAGTTCAATTAAAGCAATATCTGATCAAAACTATTTTATATAATTATACTTTCAAAATTTTAAACCACGACTGCATCTCCAATTCTATCATTTTCAACAACAAAACAAAACAATTCATAACATATATATATATGTGGAACATACAATATATTCTCCCTCCCTCTATGTTCAAATGGTAAAACTGCACGTAGAGGGAGGTATAAAAATTGTACAAAGTTGGCTTGGCACTTTACCACATTTAACCGATTCAATTTGAAAAGGAGAAAGATCTGGTCCACCAGTCAATTATTTACGAAGTGCCGTCTGCTTATTTATTTATCCAATGGCAGCACAGCTAACGAGCTCCTCCTCTGGAGACACCATCTTCTGGTCGCTATTTCTAAGCCTAGTAAAACCCCGGATTGAATATTTAAATCACAATTTATCATAGACCTTAGTTTTTTTTTTCGTATAACAAGTTAACGTTATTTATTCACGTTTATTTATTATATATTTTTTTTGTTCTCTATCTAGGAGTAATGTATTTTTTGTGTGTTTATTTCGTCATATCAAATATTAATGGCCTTAGTCAGTGTGAGAGTAATAGAATAACATATTCTTTTGGACCAAAAATAGTATTTTTTATATTTAGATAAACAAGATGTTCTCCTTTTTCTTATTGGGTAAATTTAAAGAGTTATAAAAGAGAATTGCTTTATAAATATTAAAGAAATACTTTGTAAATCTAACATTTCTTAGTTTTTAATATATAAAGGATTAACTTCAACCCCATTTATTTCCAGCGTTTTGGTGATCCGCTGTTTCTCTATTCAAGGAATACTATAATATATAACTATAAAGATCATATTGTATATTGAGTTTTTCCTTGAAAAGGGGTAAAAGAGGATCATCGAAACGTCAAAAATAATTCTAAAGAGACAAGGGTCGCCTCTCCCGTCAAAATAGACGTCTAAAACCAGACGCCATCTTGTCACCGACCCGAGGCCGCTAGTTAGGGCGACGGTCAATAGATGGCGTCTGGTTTTAGACGTCTATTTTAACGGAAGAGGCGACCCTTGTCTCTTTGGATCAATTTCCTCCCGGAAAAAAATTCCATCTATGTCATAAATAAAGTTAAATAAAAAAGGTTGAAATAAATCGTTTATAATCATGGTTTGGTTTTTGACCAGGTTTGATTAGTGGAAAAATAAAGTGTTAAACCAAGCCATACAAGGTCATTTAGAACAAAACTCAATGCTATTGTTACTCTTGTTCAATGCTATTGTTACTCTTGTTCAATGCTATTGTTACTCTTGTTCAATGCTATTGTTACTCTTGTTCAATGCTATTGTTACTCTTGTTCAATGCTATTGTTACTCTTGTTCAATGCTATTGTTACTCTTGTTCAATGCTATTGTTACTCTTGTTCAATGCTATTGTTACTCTTGTTCAATGCTATTGTTACTCTTGTTCAATGCTATTGTTACTCTTGTTCAATGCTATTGTTACTCTTGTTCAATGCTATTGTTACTCTTGTTCAATGCTATTGTTACTCTTGTTCAATGCTATTGTTACTCTTGTTCAATGCTATTGTTACTCTTGTTCAATGCTATTGTTACTCCTGTTCAATGCTATTGTTACTCTTGTTCAATGCTATTGTTACTCTTGTTCAATGCTATTGTTACTCTTGTTCAATGCTATTGTTACTCTTGTTCAATGCTATTGTTACTCTTGTTCAATGCTATTGTTACTATTGTTCAATGCTATTGTTACTATTGTTCAATGCTATTGTTACTCTTGTTCAATGCTATTGTTACTCTTGTTCAATGCTATTGTTACTCTTGTTCAATGCTATTGTTACTCTTGTTCAATGCTATTGTTACTATTGTTCAATGCTATTGTTACTCTTGTTCAATGCTATTATTACTCTTGTTCAATGCTATTGTTACTCTTGTTCAATGCTATTGTTACTCTTGTTCAATGCTATTGTTACTATTGTTCAATGCTATTGTTACTATTGTTCAATGCTATTGTTACTCTTGTTCAATGCTATTGTTACTCTTGTTCAATGCTATTGTTACTCTTGTTCAATGCTATTGTTACTCTTGTTCAATGCTATCGTTACTCTTGTTCAATGTTATTGTTACTCTTGTACAATGCTATTGTTACTCTTGTTCAATGCTATTGTTACTCTTGTTCAATGCTATTGTTACTCTTGTTCAATGCTATTGTTACTCTTGTTCAATGCTATTGTTACTCTTGTTCAATGCTATTGTTACTATTGTTCAATGCTATTGTTACTCTTGTTCAATACTATTGTTACATTTGTCCAATGCTATTGTTACATTTGTTCAATGCTATTGTTACTCTTGTTCAATGCTATTGTTACTCATCACTAAGTATTCTCATTTCTAAAGAAGTATTGTTGAAGTGTGCGACGTTTATGGTGTTCCAGGTTCTCCTTACACGGCAGTTCTGACATCTGTCATCCTGGAACTACAGGAAGGAGGACAGTTGGACAATTTGACGCGACATTGGTGGGCCAGTCGGTGTCCTAAAGTAGCTTCCGCACAAACTGGAGCCAGCAAACTGGGCATCGGTCATGTGGGCGGTGTGTTTGTCCTTCTGATCATTGGAGTGGTGGCTGGCTTCGCCGTCATGGTACTGGAGTATTGCTGGAGGATGAAGAAGATCCCTAGCGACCAGCGGGTAACTCACTTCTTTCACCACATTGACTTATATCATTCAAAGGAGATTTGGGTGACAATTTTTTGAAACATGACAATTTTTTTTTTCTTCAAATAAAAGACACTTCGGTTAGTAAATCTTTTTTATTGTCTCGACGTTTCGACAAAAATCTTTTGTCCTTTCCTGACGAGGACAAAAGATTTTTGCCGAAACGTCGAGACAATAAAAAAGATTTACTAACCGAAGTGTCTTTTATTTGAAGAACAATGAATGCCGGTCAGACAGCCTCTATCTTTACGATGACAATTTTACAAAACAAATGTATTGACACCTTAGCCAATATTTATCTCATTCTTATCTCAAAGCCATGATAATCATGGTGGGTAGTTAGCGACTGCTTTTACTGTAAGTGCACCACATGTCTACACATGTGAAAAGCAGTTCGACTTTGCACTTACAAATGTGCCAGAGCCCCGTTTGGTAACTTGCACTCGCTGGTGGGGTTGGACTTTTGCAAGAATCGGGGGCCATTGGAGCATTTTTTTTTCAACAGAAAAAAGTGTCCAATGCGGGAATCGAACCCGGCTCGTAGTGGTCGAAAACCAAACGGTTTAACCAGTCTTCCACCGACCCCCTGCCAATATTTGTAAAATCAAGAAGAGATTGCACACAAAAATAATTCGAATTAAAAAAAAAAAAAAAAGATAACGAAACGCAGGTTCGAACCCGGGACGTTTAGATCTTCAATCTAACGCTTTCACAACTGATCTATTCCACCTTATGTGATAATAATTTTTAAAATTGAAAAAATATTCACAATTTCGTGTTTTCAGCCGGGGAGTTTCCCCCACTGTAATTTGTGTGGATATGTACTCCATCAAAGTACTACACAAATATAATCTAAATTTACCTTTTAAAGTCGAAGATAACTCACACATTAAACACATACATAGTAAAAAAAACCTTTTAAACAATAAAATATTACTATTTATAACATTTATCTTAAATATTTATACAATTATTATTAGAAGATTATTTTGCACTATCGCGCCATTTGTTATCAAAATTCGAAACTATTATAGACGCGTATGATTCTTTTATTTTTTTAATAAACAATTTCTACTGCCCTTACTGCAATGGAAAAATTAATGGGAGGGCCTGGCTCATCAGTGGTGAACTCTCCCAGCGGTTTCGCCAGTTAATCTACCATACCGCTTGTATATTGAATTTTTCGATCTTCCTTTTATAGTGATACTGATGCCAGACTCATGGAATGGGTATTTTAGATTGTGATGCATCATTTTATAGAGGTTTTAGAGTTTTATGTTAAAAAATCAATAAGCTTGAGGGATGAGTATCTTTAGCAAATAAATTTATTTCAAGCTTTCGGGCTCAACCGCCCTTCGACAGGAAATTTACGCTTTTTAGGACCCAGTAGCGTAATTTTCCTGTCGAAGGGCGGTCGAGCCCGAAAGCTTGAAATAAATTTATTTGCTAAAGATACTCATCCCTCAAGCTTATTGATTTTTTGACATTCTATTAAGGGGGATTAGCCTATTAATTCAGAGTTTTATATTTATAATAAATCTCTGTAGTGTTCAAATAAACAGCCGGGGAATAGCCTGATTTGTTCCTTTTTAATTTAGAAGTAAAACAAAGAGAAGCTCTTTGATTGTAACATTTGAGACATTCGAATTAAAAGGAACATCTAGATGAGATTTGTGTTGTACTTTGATGGAGTACATATCCACATAAATTAAGGTGAAGAAAACTCCCTGGCTGAAAATACCAAAAATTCTAAATATTTTTCATTTTTAAACATTATTATCACATAAGACGGAATAGCTTAGTTATGAAAGCGTTAGATTGAAGGTCTAAACGTCCCAGGTTTGAACCCACGTTTCGTTATATATATATATATTTTTAATTGAGACACTTGAATATTCTACTGTTTCTGCTCCCAAACCATATTCACATGGATCATTTTTTATTATATTTCCTATTACATATAGGTAACTATTGAAGGAACCCTGTCCAGAATATATCTGTACTAGCCGAATGGCCCGGGCAACGCCCGGGTTTTACCCGATTAAATGCTTTTATTCAAATACTATTCGTTACAATTATAAATTGGCGCCGTGGATTTCATTCTTGTATAATATATAAATGAGTTTTAAAAATTGTAAAAAAAAAATGCATCGACCGGGAATCGAACCCGGGCCGCCCGCGTGGCAGGCGAGCATTCTACCACTGAACCACCGATGGTTATGAGAAATAGCCATATTTGGGTATTTATTCCATTCACAAAAGCAAACGGTGACAGAATTGATTAAGAAAGAATTGATTATGACGCTGATAACTGTATTATCTGTGTAGTTTCTTGACACCCGGTGCACTGTACATACTATGTAAGTATTGATGAACCTACAGTATGTATCTACTAGATAGTCAAGTAGGATCACACTTCTTCACTTCCGTATACTTCTTCAAATTGACCAATGGCCAAAAATCTTCAAAAGTCCGAAAGATACTTCGGGAAGTAAATATTTTTTTATTATCTCGACCTTTCGACAAAATCGTTTTGTCCTCGTCAGGAGCGAACAAAATCAAAACATTTGGCAAAGCGTTAAAAATTATTCTAAGGGGCTGCAAGGGTGTTCTGGCCGAAGTATCTTTAATTTTAAGAACTATGAATTCCGGCCAGGCAGCCTCTATCTTTACGGTTCCATATACTTGTGGCAATACTTAGTGTCACAACCAGAAAGCGTTAAAAAACAAAAAAAATGTTTTTTTTTCTATCCTAAATGAACATTTTTAGGGTATAATTTAATGATTTTTAAAAATTATTCCTAGTACACGTGGTACAGGCCATGATAATCATGGTGGGTAGAAGTTGGCGATTGCGTTTACTGTAAGTGCACCACATGTCTACACAAGTGAAAAGCAGTTCGACTTTTGCACTTACAAATATACCAGAGCCCCGTTTGGTTACTTGCACTCGCTGGTGAGGTTGGAATTTTTCAAGAATTGGGGGCCATTGGAGCTTCTTTTTTTTTAATTATAAAAAAGTACCCAATGCGGGATTCAATCCCGGGTCGTAGCGGTCGAAGACCAACGGTTTAAACCACCTTTCCACCGACCCCCAATTTAATGATTAAATGCTGGATATTCGCAAAACGCATCTCTAAAAGATAGTTAAATTCTGGCAAATATTTCATTTTCTAATTCTTTAGTCTATATAACAGCCTGTACACATATCCATGTTACAGGAGTTTCTTTTAAAATTTCACACAATATTACAGTAAGTGCAGTAGGAATTGTAATATATCAAAAAGAATCATACGCTTCTAAAATAGTTTCAATTTATTACAACAGATGGCGTGATAACACATCCCAATACATAAAGCTCTTTTCTCTATTAATTTATATAATATACTAGCGGATGTACTCGGCTTCGCCCAGGTTTTTCTCGAGGGAATGTTTGTAGTCTAGTAATAAGAAAATATACTACACCTAAAAACTATCAGAGAAAAGAGAAACCACGGAAGGTGAACAGAAAAATGCTTACAATGGATGTTATGTTTACGATATCAAGTTAAATAAAAACAAAGATAAAATTTGCATATGTTGGTCACTATAAATTTGTATATTTGTTAGGCGAAATTAGAAACATGATAAAACAATTGGGTATTTAAAAACAAATGTAGAAATAAAAGTTGAAGTATAATAAACAATGTTAAAGATTAGTTTTAATTATTAATCAAGATTGTGTGTGAATATGTGAGAAAGATGTAATATCGTTGTTGTTTTCTTGGCCGACTGTTTTACATATGGTGTTATCTTAAAATTGCTTGTTTTGAATATTTTTTAGATTGAGATTATTAGCTAGTATGTAAAAAAATTAACCCTGTTGAAATTTAATTTTGTATTTATATATAAATAAAATTAACTCTGTTGATTTTTTTTTTGTATTTAATCGATAACAGCGAAGTTACGCATGTTAATGTTAGGAAATATATTTTGATGTTAAGCAAAACCTGCTCCATCTCGTTTTACATAAATGTTGAAAATTTGGTTGAAATTGATGCATTGTAACGAAAGTTTTTAGTGATATCCACTTATGAAATTTCCATTTTATTAATATAGATAACTAGCCGAATGACCCGGGCAACACCCGGGTTTTACCCGATTAAATGCTTTTATTCAAATACTATTCGTTACAATTATAAATTGGCGCCGTGGATGTCATTCTTGTATAATATATAAATGAGTTTAAAAAATTGTAAAAAAAAAAAAAAAATGCATCGGCCGAGAATCGAACCCGGGCCGCCCGCGTGGCAGGCGAGCATTCTACCACTGAACCACCGATGGTTATAAAAAAATGGCCATATTTGGGTATTTATTCCATTCACAAAAGCAAACGGTGACAGAATTGATTAAGAATTGCTTGATGACTCTGATACTTGTATATTTTAATATTTCTATTTAATATATAATTCACAATCATACATGATACGAATATACCTTTTTTTTTTAAACATTTAAAATTATTCATTTATCCCATCAAATAACCAAATAATAACTAAATCCAACGCTGTTTACTGTACATGCTTTATTATAAAGTCCCCACCATGTAAAACGACGGTAAATTATTCATGTAAATTTCAGGCAGCAATAATAAACAAATTAGGTTGGCCTGATTGAATTAAGGCGATGTGAGCCAACTTTATTGAATTAGAGACATCTCTTCTGTGATATTTCACGTTGTGAGCTCCACGCATTAAAAGGAGCATTGTTTAAAAAAAAACGCCTTTCCTATCAAACCGACTAGAATAAAATAATCTATTCTGACCCGTTAATTGAATAATCAAATATAGGAAAATTTCGCGCAGTTTACTTTTTATTAACATATCTAAAAAACCTTACACGCACTAAGTTTCTTTATTAATAATAAGATACTCCTCTTCAATCGTCGTTATATTTTGTTATTTCAATTCGAAGAGTTCAATTTAATCAAGCTTCTTTATTACAAAAAAAAAAAACCGCAAACTTTGGAGTTCTAGCCCTTCAACGGGCGAAATTGAGGCCTTGTTGAAGAGGGATACCTCGAAAGCTCGTGGTTTTTTGTAATAAAGATACTTATTGCGTAAGAGAATTTCAGATATTTTTATAATTAAATAATGGAACATATTAAAATTGATTAAAAATATAACAAATTTAACACTATGCATAGCGCCATCTGTATGTTGATTTCTGAACTATTCAACTTTGTTAGCTTTTTATTTTATATACTGAGTGTGCTATATGTAATGTTTTAGTTATCGTTATATTTGTTGTTTTGTCCTTCAAATGTAAGAGTTCGAAACTGAAAAAAAAGAAAAAGATTTCTACAATTACAGAAACATATTTCCACAGTTTCACAAAACACCATCACCAAGAATCCAAGTACAGATATAAGTAGAATGGACAATACAATAGTTGTAACTTAGATCTGGTGACAAAACTTAAAGGAGTGAAAAGTCTTTAATATTGCCGGTCGTCTGTTTTTTTTTTTTTTTTTGTTTTGAAGGAGACAGAAAAATGTTATTCACACTTGGTTATCTCGTGTGTCTTCAATAAAGGTCACTGTAATATCTTTCAGAGTTATTGTTCCGATATACATGTTGAAAAAGGTACAACTTCCTTAAGTTTTGTCTCCTTAAGTTGTGTAAATGTAGTTATATCTAAAACTATACAACAAAAACGTCATTAAGAATAATAGAAACACTTCTTTAGCAAAAAATAATCTTCGCGTTTTAACAGGATACTAGGACAACGCCCTTGTAAAAATATTATTGCAAATTTTTTTTAATTTTTTGAATAGATTCGCTTAACAATTTTAATTCGTTTTCTCTAATATGGATTCAAAATCCAATGATGCTTCTTGAAATGATCATATTCAATGAATACAAAATCACTACCAACCTGATGCGAAAGATTAACACGAGTGTGAAGAGAAGCCTAGAAAAGGACTAGCCTAGAGCAGTACAGGGTGTTCCCAAGTGGTCACCCTCCCAAGTACTAACCAGGCCCGACATTGTGTAACTTCGTTAACCGGACGGAGTTTTCGATGTAGCATAAAAACGATGAGAAATGTACTTTAATTGGGGTGGTATATCAGGTTAAGACATACAACGCCCTGATTCACTACTCTCCAATCTAAGTACATTCACCGCTACAATCACTAGATAAATTCATTGTACCTATACAGTGGGGAATCCTTGTTACTGGCTATCTAACACATAAAAACAGTTTATTGAAAACTTGAAATTTTATTTCATATCTTTTAAGTATTTTAGGCAAGAAGGGGATTAATGAAATCTTTATAATTTGCCAAATAGGTGTTTGTTTATTTTATTATTGTTGTTGAAAATTTCATGACACTGGTGAATCCCCCCATGAAATTGAGGACAAACCTAGACTGACGAAGGCCATTAGCTTGAAACCATGGTCTCTAGGTGGACGTTTCTCAGTTTTCCATACTGATGTTGTGGCTTTGTCACCGACCTGAGTCCGATAAATTACAGAGACAGTCAATGGATGGCGCTTAGTTTCAATGTCTATTTTGACGGGAGAGATTAACCCTTCTTTTACCAGTGGTATATATACTTAGAATTATTAAAAAATCAGAGATCAATTTAATATTATAATTCACATTCTCAAATATATTATTATAGATTTTAATAAAATTAACATAAAACAACAACGTTACTAACATATTAAAACTCTAAAAGGAATTTTTGAACGCACACAAAAAAAAATACTTTTAATCTAAAATTTTTAAAACCACACAAAAAATAAAGTTTTTTTTTTAGAAGGGAGAACAATTTATTTATTTTTACGTTATATTTTACTTGAAGTTTTATAAA